TTTTTTGCATGGAAAAAGCAAATTTGATATTTAGTAGTTATATAGTCTGGATGATCTATAATTATGTGTGTGACGTGATGAAGTAAAGAAATTGAAAGACGTAATATGTCCTTTTAATTCCGGCTTAATCAGAATGTAACTTGTAAACTTTCCAGGTCCACCAATCCTTCGTGGGCGGTTGCTGTCTCGTTCGCTGCCAGACGCGGCGGGGTTAGGGCCGGCGCTGCACGCCCACCACACTGACACCTATGGCCGGCCTCGCCTGGCTTTCCGTCGACTCGCTTTGCGGAATACAGTATGAGGTACGTCCTAACTTAGGGCAAGCCTATTCCCTGCATGAGAGACACCGTAATTCCTGATACAAGAGACATCAAGACATTTTACTATCATGGCTGTTAATGGTATCTAGTATTAAATAATAATGTTGGTAGCATTACTAACATTCGAAGGCCTTATTTTTACTTCTTTGAAAACTACAGCGACTACCACTTTGTGTTTATTCTTTTATTCACGATGAGTTTGTCAATTGTTTAAAAATGATACCTTTTGTCTCAAGGTGGTAGTGACGGGCGCGACTAGTGCATGGTCGTCGTGGCTGGAGACGCATAGCGGGAGTGCGCGGGTGCTAGGCGGGGCGGAGGGCTGCGTGCTGGAGCCCGCGCCCGCCGAGCTGGCCGCGCTACAGGCCGGCACCGCGCATCTCAATGTGCGCGCACCCGACAACGTCACAGAGTTACTGCGCACACGCATACCACAGGTTAGTTTTCACTTCGAATGAAGCTGTATATGTGAGTTTGTGTAGTTTTAAATCTATTGTCTGAGCATTGAGTTTGAATTTTAGTGTCTCAAAATCGTAACTGTTAATTCAATTTATACATTTAGTTTAAAATAACCAGAAAAATCTGTTTAATGTATCTAGGTTAACAGGTTGTATTGGGTTTCTGTTAATTTTAAATTTAACATTTTTCATGCTATCAAGGCTCGTCAACTAAGGTGAGATACCAACAAGTAAGGTAAGGCAGATATGTACATCATCATAGATTCATAATTATACATTAGCATTTATTTCCTAACATGTTTTTAAGAAACTGATCGCGATGTTTTTCGTGTTACAGATAAGCGTGCCGCCATCTTGTCTGCCGACGGTGCCGTGGACGTCAGACAACGAGCTGGGCGCGGGCTACTCGCCCACGCACGTCGAAGCGCCGCCGCCCGACAATTCCCTGACCAATACAGCGTCTTGCTACCACGCTGGACGTTTCTATGAAGATGGCGCGCAATGGATGTCTACTGAGGTAATGTATCTCTTTGTGAACAATATTAAGTGAATGTTAATAGATCATTGCATTTGCTAAAGCATTATGGTAAAGCTAAAGAGATGCTAAAGCTAAATATACATGAAGTACCAGAAAGTAAGAATATTATAGTAGATTCGATTGGATTCCTTCGTAAACTTAATAAAATGTTTAATTATTTTCTTGTTGATGCAGTCTTGCCAGATGTGTGGGTGCGTGCACGGCGTGCTGCG